TACTATGAAATTTTGGAAATAGAAATGTAAAAGCAAGCGGAGAAGTACATGAGAGAACACATAGACTAAACGCTCAGAAACCAATTATTTTAAAAATGACAAAAATAGAAGAAGAATTTATGATGGAATGAATGCAGTAAGAACTCGACAACTAAAGACAACACACATGCTACAAAACAACTATCTGTGATTTCGTGAATCATTAATCGGTGTACTTTCCAGAACAAGACACAAATATTAGACTACTATGAAGACAATCTAAAAGAGCAAAGTGTGTAGATGAGTTACTTGGACGCCTAGCTGCAAATTCTCCAGCCGGTATTTGAAGGAAAAAAATCTGAAGCCCCACCTAAGGGTGATTTGTAACAACACACTTATTGTTGGCAGTGTATTCATAAGTTTAGAACTCCTTATTATTGGCAGTGCAAATTCTCACTGCTTTCCTCCAATCATTCTCTTCTTCTATCTCTAGTTTCTTTCATAAGTTTCACTCTTATTTTTATTTTTAGCTCCTGGTGTTTCTCCTATGACCCCTATATGGATAAAAATGGCTTTCCTTTTCTTCTCTCCTTCTCTTTCTTTTTTTCTTTTTTTAACCCCCCCGAGGAGTAGAGCTCTCCCTTTTTTATAGAGTAAGCCTTCCCTGCTTCCTCCGTCCCCTTTTTTTTTTTTTGATGTCTTTCTCCAAAAAATAAAATGGCTCTCCCCCATCGCTATCATGCTCCAAAGTGTGTCCATGATGTATCTGATCTAAAAGTTTGAAATGATGCAGCCTCTGCATATTGCAGTGTTGTCTCCTTATTTTGATGATCATCCTTAGGTCTCTTTTTCTGTTCTCATTTTTGCTTAGTTCTTTTTGCAATTTCAGCATTAAAGACTTTTGTCTTTATAACCAAATGCCTGATCTCTAACCATACAAAAAACTTTGCCTCCAGACGTGTCATTGTCCTCCTCTGCTTTATATGATTTGCTGCTCTCTTTTTGCTTTTGTTTTACCCTCTTGTCTACTTACCTCAACATGTATTGGACTTTGCATGTACGTTGTCATGTGCAGAATTTGGCATCTAATTACCTTAGTTTTCTTTTTGTTTTTGTTTTTTTTGTTTTTTTTAATAACAGCTAATTACAAATTATAAAAAGCAATATTTTCATTTAATTTTTCTTTTTTAAAATCTATTTTTATTTTATTTTAAGAAAATAAAGGTTCAGAATTTAGATTTTTTTTTAATATTTGGAACAAAATTGGGTGTTCACAATATACATCGAGTTGCATGTCAAATTTGTTTTTATTTTTTATTTTTTTAAAAGCTTATGGTCCCACCATTTTATTTCAGTAGGAGATAAGATTTTAATTCCTGTAAAATAAGAAAAGTTTTTCCCAACATTTTTTTAGCAAAAAAAGTTATAGACATGATAAATATGAACATTAGATTGAGAATTGAACGAATTTCGTTCCTTTTTGTACATCTCTTTTATTATTGCCCAGGAGAACATTTGGTCATTTTAAAAATATATTACACATGATATTGTTTTTTATTTATAAATAAAGATAGGTTATATATATAACTTTTTTTCCTTGCAACCAGTTTATTACTGTTAGATCAAAATTAAATTAATGACTTTTACCGTGTAAAGAATCACTTCAACTCAAAATCTTAAGGTGTTGTGGGAAGACCTTTTTAATAGTCTATATTATTTTCTAACACACACCTTGCACAAGAGCCCATTGAGCTTGAAACGTGGATATTGCACAGGTCCAATCTTTTGTTTAATTTGTACTTATTTAATTCCACAAGTGGGGGGACATGAGGATCGAATTTGTGATCTTATGGTCACTGAGACTCTGATACCATATAAAGAATCACTTCAACTTAAACCTTTAAGGCATTGAGTGAATGTTTTTTTAATGATTTATATTATTCTCTAACACACCTCTCACTCAAGAAGGCTTTGGTCTTGAAACGTGAATATTACACAGACCCAATTGATTGCGTGAGGGGATGTGTTAGAGAATAATATAAACCATTAAAAAGGCCTTCATCTAACACCTTAAGATTTTTTATTGAAGTGATTCTATATACGGTATCAGAGCTTCAGTGACAAGGTCATGAAAAAACACACACAAGATAAACCATAAATTGAGCCTGTGTAATATCTACTTGTTGCGTATAATCGGCAAGTGCACCGATCGTACCAAGTAATAAAAGAGTAAGTAGAGATCGTCTCCACGAGGATTGAGGCACCAGAATTATTTTAACTATTCCTTTCTTGTTGGATGAATAAAAGTTGGTTTGAGAATATTTGTGATTGTAAAAATTTAGAATTATTCAAGACTTGTGAACAATTCAAAGTTGCTTTTGAGAACTTGAGAATAAAAGATTAAGATTGAGAAAATATTGAAAAAGACTATTGCGGTAAAAGACGCCAACACTTTTCTGATCCCCACCTTGCAATATTAATTAATGTTTACATTTAATTACCCATTGATCAAACAATTCACCATCTGTTAATTGATTAGTTAAGCCCTAATTCCTTAGTGGTCTTAACTTTATTAACCCTATTAGAATCCTAATCCCTTAGAAATTCATTTTCAAGTTAATCCTTTAAACCGGTGAATTTTTCACGTTTGCAATTCCTGTACCCTATTCCTAGTGTATACATGAATTGTTATTTTACCCTCTATCAGGAACTAGAATTTCAATATTCCTATTGAAAACCTTAACCCTCGCAATCCCAAAAGAGTGATCAATTCTAGAAGAATTATAAGATGAAGAACAGGATAAAATAAATGCAATTGAAATAATTAAATATAAAATTTAACCAAACTACAAGGGGTTTACATCAAGGGTTATGACCCTTACCACAATAATAAAAAAACTAGCCAACCATTATCATGACTGGCATAAAATTATATAAGATAAAGATAAAGAGTGTGATTACAAAAAGAAGACTAAGAAGAATCCTCCGTTCCTCTCCTCCTTCTGCAATCCTTGTTTCCTTCCTCTCTGTCGTCGAAAAGTCCCTGGTTTCTGTCATAAACCTCATTTTTATATATCTCATATCGCTTTCCAAAATTGCCCTTTAAAAAAAAGGCACGGTGATTTTTCTCGCAAACTGGCGCGGGTCTGCGCCATAGTGGCGCCGGTCCGCGCCGTAGTTTTGTCACTTTAAAAACCACGGACTGCAAAACTCGCAACCCGGCGCGGGTTGGCGCCGAGTGGCGCCAACTTGCGCCAACTCTTTGGATTTTGGCCCAACCCGTGTGTAGTCACGTCAACAAGCTTTTTACAATTTTGTAGTTTTCACTTCTTTTACCTATATAAACACAACCAATAGGTGAGAAATATCATTTATATGGAAAGAATCAATATAGTAAGCAAATATGCATATAAATTGCTCTTTTATGACTCAATTCTTATCGATTTCAGCTTGGAAAATTACATCTGCCAGAGGCACATCACTATGCTTCCAAACCAAAGCCCTCTTGTGTGAGGGAGTGTGTTAGAGAATAATATAAATCATTAAAAAGACCCTCTCATTAAACTCTAACTAACAAAATTGGGACGAGAGCAATCTTTATATGCAATTTTTTTTTTTTTGAGATATTTCTCGTATTTGAAAGGTTAACTACATGCTTTTGTTATGTCAATCATATTGAGATTTATTTGAATATATGCAATTCTATCAATTAGTGACAATGAGTATCATCCATCATGGTCACATAAACTAGTCGATACTTTGAAATTTACTCTAATGATTGATATAATAAAACAAAAGGAAAAATATTTTCTCATGTTGCATTAGAATTCAATTCTCATGTTGTGACCCTTTGATTTGTGCGCAAAATTTTTTTTTTTCTTTTTTTAATAAATGTGAAACCCACCACTATTTGAGTCACAACATAAGAATTCAATTCTTATGCAACATAAGAAAATCAAACCCCTAAAACAAAAGCATTGAGAAACTTCTTGATATATACATATCATCAATCCAGTGAAATGGAGCACGTGTATAGCCTATAGGGAACGTCGCGGTTTTAGCCAAGATTCTAAACCCGTCAGCTTTTTCGATGTTATTTGTGTGGATGAGAACTGAGAAGCACCTTTTTGTGTTTTTTGTTTTTTTTTTTTTAAACACGTTTTTGTTGTGTGTGAGGGATTAAAATTAAAGTATAAACACGGTAAAGAAAAATTAATTCAGCCAAAAAATTTAAATCGATAAATTGTGGGACTTCAATGATTTTTTATTATATTTTTCTAACAAATATCTTATAAAAACAAGATAAATTAATTTGGAATATAATATTATGTCTATCCTACCTACTCACTTTTAATACTATTAGATCAAAATCTTAAGAGGAGAAAGAAAAAGTAAAGGTTAATTGAAATTCTAATCTAACTATGTTGGAAAGAAATACGTAAACTAAACAAGAAAAAAAGATAGGTATAAAGAATCATTCAACCCAAAACCTTAGGGTATTGAGTAAAGCTACATTAATAATTTTATATTTCTATAACACATGCTTTCATGCAAGAGCGCTCTAGACTTAAAGCGTGAATATTGCACATGTACAATTTTTTGGTCTACCTAATGTTGCAATGGCCCATTTTTGGTTTAGCTTATGCATACTTAATTCTATCACAAAGAGAGGGTCGATAAGGATCGAACTCGTGACCACTTGATCACACTAGCTCTGAAACTATATAAAAAGTCAATTCAACCCAAAGTTTAAGTCACTGGGTGAGAATCTTTTTAATGGTTTATATTATTCTCTAACAATACCCATAATATTTTATCGCAATTAGTTTGCGTTATAACTAAATGATAGTTTGTGTTATAACTAAATAATAAAAATGGTATACATGAACCATCTTTCATTCTCTCAAATTCGAACCCAACTAATCCGATAGTTAAATAAGTAGATAAATAAAAAAATTGATTTGACTAAATTAAATTCTTAAAAATGGAGAGGGAGAGAGATGTCAATACCTTTTATAAATACAATATGTAGCTGATACTGATACCATCACTAATTTAGGTTCATATTAATTGGCAATAATACATGCACCCAAGCTTTCCACTGTTGAAAATGAGTTTAATTCATAGGTTCGTCCAAAGTCTGAACTTTATTTAACCAAGATCAAAAAGAGAGCAGCTTTTTACTCCAAGTAACCCAGAAATTGAAGCTTACAATTCGGTCTTAGCAGAAAACTTTCTCATAGCTTCTTCAATAGAAACATTGGTTGCACTGTAACCTCCATCCACAACTAGGTTCAATCCACTCACGTACTTGGACTCATCGCTGGCCAGAAACAAAGCTGCTTCCACCACATCCTCCTCCTTCAGAACCATTCCCTTCAAGTTCGCCGCCTCTGAATACACTTTCTCTGCACTCTCTTTGTCCATCCCCATTCCATCCATTAGAAGAGTGGTCGCCACCGCATACGGTGAAATACAATTAACTCTGATTCCATGTTTACCCAGTTCCACGCATAAGTTCTTCGTCAAACCCAACACTGCATGCTTCGTTGCAGCGTAATCAAGCGGTGTAACCACATGAATCACCGAAGATACGCTAGAGGTGAAGATGATGCTCCCTTTCTTTTCAGGAATCATTACCTTAGCGGCGTGTTTGGCAGCAGAGAAAGCACCGTAGACGTTGACCTCGAAAACCCTCTTCAAGTCTTCAAGATTAAGGGACAGGATTGAAGGGTTCAAATTGCCAACGATGCCGGCATTGCTGAACAAGATGTCAAGTTTTCCATGCTGCGAGACCGCAGCATTGACGGCGGTTTGAACGTTGGAATCGTTACTGACATCGCAGCGAACATAGGAAATATTGGGGTTTTGGACGGCGTCGCAAAGGGAACGTCCGAGATCGTCTTGGACGTCAGCGATGATGATCTTGGCACCGTGGCGAAGGAAAAGCCTTGCGGTGGCTTCACTGATGCCTCTAGCTCCCCCAGTTATCAGTGCTACCTTGCCTTGTAACCTGCAAGTGCTTAGTGATGTATATATGGTTATTGTTAAGCATAGGTATAAAAATAAGAGATTTTACACTTTCATTCATTTGTATCGAATCAATGTTCTTGAATACGTATAAATACATATAAGTGGAATCAATTCAATCAATTGTTAAAATGATTATGTATGTAAAATCAAAAAGTCTTATTCATAATCTCGACTTTTTTTAATTATTAGTTTTATCCTTTAATTAATTACTAATCTCAAATAAACTATAGGGAAAACTTCAAAAATTTCCTTGAGTTTTTTCAATTATCACTTACCCCCTCACAAAATTTTTGAATCATTTACATCCTTATTTAAAAAAATTTATCACTTACCCCCTGATATAAAATTTCTTTATCATTTACCCCCCTCACTTAGGGGTGTAAATAATAAAAAAACTTTAAGTCAAAGGGTAAATGATTCAAAATTTTGGAGAGAAGATAAATGATTATGAGAAAAGTTATTAAGAGGTTTTTGAAGTTTTCTCTAAACTATAACCATCATATATTCAAATATCAACGGCTAGCACAGAGAATAAGATTTTTCAATCGTATATATACTGAAATAAAAACATCCTAGGTTAGCAGGAGTATCATATATATGTACAGAATTTGAGTTATGATTTGATTACCTCTTGGCGATTGGAAGGGAGCACCCTTGCATCTTGCTTCCGATAAGCCTTACTGGATAAAAAGGAAATTACATTTGCATTCATATAATATAATGTTTTACAATAAGGAGATGCTATCATGGTCCCGGACTCTGTCAGCAAGTTCCCCAAGTCACCACAAGTGAAGATAAAATCATTATTTATTTTTATTTTTTTAGAAAAAAATGAGAGGATGGGAAAGACAGCAAACCATCTCGTGGATTATCCAAGTAACAATTTATTCGGACTATATATATTTTACTTTTATTATACTTAGTGTCCTGCATATAAGAAAGGATCCATTTACATAGAGTTCCGTGGTATATATTTCTAAAAAAAAAAAAATTATAAAATAATCTACCGTACACTGAAATATTACCTGATTTTGAAGTTGAAAAGGTTGACAAAATTAGATGAGAGGTCAAGAATACACTAAAAGAAAGTGAGCCATGTTGAATGTAGTGAGATTTTCAGAAGTGAAGGGTTGAGAAGAGGGCGAGAGTAAGGTTGGGAGAAGGAAATGAGAGAGACGAAGAGAGCTTTGGATGATTTCTTCTTGTTTTTTCATTCACCGGACCACTTAATGCAACAACCATGATTGAGAATACATCAAACGACGGATAAGCAAAAACTTCAAAACTGACATTTGGAAATACTCCTAACATAAACAGTTAATCCCTATACTGGGCCCATGTGATTATCCTTCAGATGTGAGGGAGTTCTGTTCTTGCGTTTGGGCCTTCCTCCTGTGGCGCTAATGGGCTTAAGCCCTTCATTAATGCTACCCTGTCTTTATATCTTTGATCAGGGTAACCTCAATCACATTCCCGTGTACCTCACACAAAGGGCGAATCTGGCATCAAAATTTGTAACAAGATAATAATTAGTCATGAAACACTTGACTAAGGTTAATGAATTGATTTGTGTATCTCAGCATAGTGTGTGGTGTGCTTGAATTTTCCTCGAGTAGTCTGATAAAGGAAAGTATCTTCATGACTCCTGTAATATTCAAAATCAAATACATCTTTTACTAAATTAACTTATTTTACCTACTATTTCCTAACGCCGTTAGATTAACATTTTAAGAGAAGAGAGAAATAGTAAAAATTAATTGAGATTCTAATTTAATTATTTTTGAGATTAGTAGGCAGAGTATGCATAAAAAAAATATATAATATCCTATTTTAAAGAAATAATATAATTAACTTTACCCATTTTACCCATCCTTTTATGGTTATTGTCACCTAAATCCCTTTTATCAAATTTTTAATAAAAGAGTACCTATATCTGTAATACAAAAAATATGCTCTTCAAGAGGAGGGTTAGGATTTATACTTTTTTTTTAGGTAATGAATTATTGATGGTAAAGTCCCTATTAGGAGTTAATATTTATCATATTATATGAGATAAAATGAATAAAAATATATGAAATCTATGTGAAGCGATATGAGGAGAAGAGAAAAAAAAATATAGACCACATATATTTTTTTATATATATAGAAGATAAAATTATTTTATTGAACATTAATCCTTACATTTACTATCTAAACTTTTAAGTTTGTGTATTAGCAGATTTTTTTATTAATGATGGCTTAGTTAATCACCGCCATTCTCCACTTAATTTTATGGAGAAGTGCTTAAAAACGACCGTCTGCCGTCAATAATTATTATTAGTGATGACTTTCTCAGGTTACAGATAACTTTTAACTGTCATTAATAAAGAATGAGCAAATTTCTTGTTGGGTTATGGTTTGTTTAAGACAATTTTCAATTTATTATTTCTATCACCTCATGGCACCGTCGGGTATCGACCCAACTACCTCAAATTCAACTACTTATGGAGTCGGTGCTCCAATGCTCCTTGTTTTGGCTTCCTTCGTTGCCCCCGCTACTGCTATTTTTGCTGCCATTTTTGGGTTTCAATTTTTGAGTAATTAGAGCAAGAGTCCGTGTTCCGTACTAAAAAGTAAGTAACTTCAATTCAAAATATTATTTTTTTAAGAAAATTATAATATTATCATTAAACTGAAAATTTTGTTAGAGAATATAGACACATGGTGCAGTGTTTTGATAAACAGATTTGTTATAGAGAAAAACTATTCTCATGTTACATGAGATAAGTTTTTCCTCCTACACACCCTTCGATAACTGTGCCACCTTTTTCTTTTCTTTTCTTTTCTTTTTTGAGGTGGTGGAACCCACAAATTTATCTCTATGACATGAGATAACTATCTCCTTTAACATGAGATTAATAAAACCCTTTGTTATATTATAGATGACATTTTTGTCTTCGTGAATATTTATTGTACTTTTTAGCGAACTTGTACTCAAAGGTACTTTTTTTCTGGGCAGGCATATAGTTTGCTTGAACCATCAGCGAACTTGGTGCATTTCAGATATGTGGCACACTTAGTTCGCTACTTGTAGCAGCGGACTTGTCCAACGTGTCAGCATTAATTGTTGCAGAGTTCGCTACTGACACAAGCGAACTACGTGTCTACCAGAAACGTGACACGTCAGCACACAGAGTTCGCTGCTTTGTTGGGCGAACTTGCCCTCGTAGCAGATTGGTAAATTGCACTGTTGGCGCGTAGCATTTAGGGAAATAAGATGGGGAACAGTGAGACTTTGGTCACTGTTCCACAATTTCCTCTCTTGCTTTCCGTATCTGGCACGGCGATACAATAGGGATAGTGACCAAAATATCACTGTTCCCTATCTTTTTTACCTAAATGTCATGCCAACAATGTTATTTCCCAATATGTCACGTGGACAAGTTTGTTGGATACTGTAGCGAACTCTGTTTGCTGATGTGTCACGTTTCTGGTGGACAACAAGTTCACTACGCTGTAATAAATAGTGACAACTTGGACAAGTTCGCTATGACTTACTCGACATAGTTCGCTCGGGGTGCAAGCGAAATATGTTTGGGAAGCTAAAAAGTGTAATAGCTACTAACATAGTACCCATTTGGAATTGCCTCAGGATTTATTCAAATGGGTTACGGTCTTGCTACTATTCAAGGATGTGTATTCCTTTGTGGATTTTCTTGGGACACCAAATCTCAGGATTCAGATTTCTGCTATAGTTTGAACTCAAGAAATTTGCGTTCATATTGATTAGGCATTTGGGCCGGTTGCTCTTGGGCATTTTTCTATATTATTTTCATTTATGAATATCGAGGAAGAGAGGGAGAATAAATGCTTTGAAAAATCAAAGTTCTAAGCATCTGGGATGGTGATTATCATTCTCACTATTGTAACATTGCATTTTCGTTTATCTATATTGGGTATTTATTATTGATGTAAAGAATCTTTGGGCCTGTTGCATTGTCCACGCTTCAAGCTCAAAGGTTCTTTACATAGTATCAGAGCGTTCAAAATCTCATCGCCTCCCACTTTCTTTGTAGTGGAATTTTCATATGTAGGTGAGCTTGTATGTTGTCCACCATTCAAGCCCAATGAGCTCTCGTGTGAAGGGGCATGTTGAGATATATAGTCTCACATTGGCTGTATGAGCAACTAATGTGGAGTTTATAAGGCCTTGTGCACTCTTACCCTTTGAGCTAGCTTTTGGGGTGGTGTATCCCAAGGTTTTTTACATGGTATCAGAGCCTCGTCGCCCCCCACTTTCTCTTGTGGACTTTCTTAGCACAGGTAGGCTGGGCTGTTGCATCTTCCACTCTTTAAGCCCAATGAGCTCTCGTGTGAGGGGGCGTGTTGAGATATATAGTCCCACATTAGTTGTATGAGCAACTAATATGAAATTTATAAGACCTTGGGCACTCCCACCCTTTGAGTTAACTCTTGAGGTGATGTATGTCAAGGTTCTTTACCATTGAAAACCTGCGAAGCATTTTCTCCGCCACAATTCCATGCATATTATAGATTTCATGTTCGAGGAACAGTGACCATTGTGCCACTGTTCCCACTGTTATTTACCTAAATGCCACGCACCTGAACTTTTTTCCCAAACTGCCACGCGGGCTAGTTTGCTGGGAGTAGTAGCGACCTCGTAATGCTGAGCTGTCAGCTTCCTGGTGGTGTCAGAGTTCGCGACTGACGCAGGCGACCTCTGTTGCAATTAATGCCTGACCAGCCAGGCCACGTGGCGTGCATGCAAGAGAGGTCGCGACGGTTCAACCAAAGCAGTGGACGTTTCCAACTCGAAATCACCATCAACGTCTGTATCCGACGAGTCACTGTCAGGGACTAGACCTTCATCAACCTCCTCCTCGGAACTATCAGTACGCCCCGATGGATCATCTACTTCATTGGCATGAATCACATCTAAAGGTTGTGTTATTGGGGGAGATGATGGTGGGGCTGACACATTCATATCTTCCGCATCTACTTCCGGCTCTTTGTTAATGTCTATGGAGTAACTGGTAGGGATGAAACATTGAGTGCTTGCCTCTCTACCGTTGTTTAGTTCCGCATATAACTCGATGTATGAGGACTCTCCATGCTGTCGAAATGCATCAACTACTAGTGACACATCTTCATCCTCAATCACCTTCACAGCAACCCATTGCACGGGGTTACCAGAAGCACATCTAACAATCAGTCGAGACAAGGATTGACCTCGTTGTAATCTCAACTTCTTGTATATTATTTTCTTGAGCTCATTATATTTGCAACGCGGACTCATGCGGAAGATCTTCGTATCTCCTTCAAACACTTGATCGTTCGGTCCAAAATATCTTCTCCCATTGTAATATAGAAGGCATATTACATCATTGTTATTCTCACTCATTATGTACTGAAAATAGAATTCACACACAGAAATGGAAAAATTTCCTTTGAAAACGAACGAGAATGAATGACTGATCGAGGAAGGGGGTCTAAATATAACACTGAGTTCGCTTTATGGCCCAGCGACCTGTAACTGTCGGCAAGTAGTTCGCTGACCAAGGCAACGGACTTCTAGGGAACTGCCACGTGGCACCTAGGTCGCCTTGGCCCCCAGCGAACTTGGCTGGGGTCAGACACGTGCCATCTAGGTCGCTTGCGTAGGCAACGAACTCAAAATACGTTGCAGGCTTTATTTCACCCAAGTTCGCTACTGACACAAGCAAACTTGACAACCACCAGCTTACTGACACATCATCATGCCTAGTTCGCTACTACTCCCAGCGAACTAGCCCGCGTGACAGTTTGGAAAAAAAGTTCAGGTGCGTGGCATTTAAGTAAATAACACTGGGAACAGTGGCACAATAGTCATTGTTCCTATGTTCGACAATTAAAAAGTTTGCAAAGTTTCCTTCAAGATGGTATGTGCAGTGCAGGCTTTCAGGCACAAAAAATCACGTCACATCACTAGAAGAAAAAATTGAATTCGACACAAAAAGTCATGTAACATCAAAATAAATTGAAACTCTGTTCGAGACACACACAAAACATCAACTCACAATCAGTGGCGGAGCCAGAAAATTATATGAAGAGGGGCAAAAATTTATCAAATTCAACTTATAGAATTTTAAATAAAATATAATTTAACAAGTATACTAAATTGACGAATTTAACATAAATTACTTCATTGCCATGTGCCATGTCAACAATAAAAAGTAAGAGAGTCACAATCTTAAACCAAAAAATATGTACAACGGTCTCAAGAGATGCACCCATTAAATAATTTTAATAACAAATATAATCACATAAC